TTCACTTTCTAAGCTGCTAATAAAATCTACAGTATGTTTGTTAACTTACAATAATATGTGCAATTTAAAAAATATTTTTGACATGTTCTGAAATATGTTTGACATACCATTGCATAAATTTGTGTCCAACATGTTTACTTGGTACATTTATATAATATGATTGCCACTGTGACGATAGCACCTCAATCATATGTAATCATTTCTTTTTCATGCTGAGAATAATTAAGATATAGTCTCATAGCAGATTTGGTGATTATTGTACAGTATTGTCTATATTCACTGTACTGAGCATTTGATCTCCAGGACTTACTTGTCTACTAGTTGTAGGTGCTATGTGTAGTCATAAGTACCTTCTATTTAAGTGTTTAGCAATGGGGTTGGTAAATATCTGCAAGTTACAAGTTAATTCTGTTTCCTGATCTCTTTGAAGGACTTTGGGGTTCAGTTCACTTTGCTAAAATATCTCATAATCATTTTCATAAAATAATTTTTAATGAATGTTAGAATATGATACCATGTGGAAGTATATGTATTTTCATTAACTGTTAGATTCAGTGTAATATTTAAAATAATTGTAATCTACTTTAAAGGGAACAAAAGGAGAAAGGATTTTTTGGAACCCCAGTATATTGTTTCAGATTCAAAGACTACACTTAATGATTGTTGTGAATGTTTTGCATTTGCTCCAGTATGGATTTGCCCTTTTACGTAGACGGGCCCTACAGTTAGAAGAGCTCACATTAAGTAAGGACACGCCTGACAGTGCTCGGACCCTCAATGAACTGGGCGTTCTCTACTATCTTCAGAATAACCTGGAGTGAGTACTATGATGTTAATAATGAAAACAAGTATCTCTTTTGTCTCTTAAATGCAAAGCTGTTTTCCATTTCTGTCAAGTCAAGCTGGAAAAAATTGATAGAAACCATGCCAGATTTCATGTATGCCATGGGCAAACCCTCATTTAACAAAGACATGGCATTTTCTCTACTGTTTCTTGTCACATTGTTTTTTTAGAAACTAAACAGTTATTCTGTAGCTTCCCTAGTATGTCCTGTTTGTTTTTGAAAAGTGAACTTGTATAGATACCGTACATGAGACTTCATAGAAGACACTTGGGACTAAGGGAAAATAAAAAATGTGAATAGCTGCTAGTTTTATTATTCACTTCATTTGGACTTAAAAGACTCAAAGTGGCATTAATATTTATACTTTCTGAAAAAGAAGTGTTTTTGTATTCTTTGGATGTCAGAAAACTAACAAATTTAACAGTTCGGGTATCAGAAAAATGTGACAAATATATAGCCCACTTCACACTTCTTAAACTAAAAATTATTTAGTACTAACAACAAAGGAAGAAAGAGTGAATACCAAAATCTTTTGAATTAGGTCTAATAATTTTAAAGGGATAAAAAGTTTGGTTTGGAAAATATTTATGGCTTTGTCTTTTAGGAGAAGTGAAGTGGAGAACTAAGCTAATTATCTAGATTAGGCCCTCACACTATCAGGAAACACACTATCAGTAAAGTATTTTTAATTTCTAGAAAAAGGAAGAAAGGTTATTAAGGGGTGAGAAAGAGGATTTTGAGCTGAATCCTTCATTTTAACAACTATCTTGGATTTGAAGAATGAAAGTGCTTCAGTTCTCCAACTATGTAGGGCTGGGGATTCTGACTTCCAGAGAAGAGTTTAAATCATTTAATGGTTTTCTTCATAGAACAGCTGACCAGTTTCTGAAGCGTTCCTTAGAAATGAGGGAGCGAGTTCTAGGACCAGATCATCCTGATTGTGCCCAGTCTTTGAACAATCTGGCAGCTCTGTGCAATGAAAAGAAGCAGTATGATAAAGCTGAAGAGCTTTATGAAAGAGCTTTAGACATTCGGAGACGAGCATTAGCTCCTGATCACCCATCTTTGGCTTACACAGTGAAGCATCTTGCAATCTTGTATAAAAAAATGGTAAGTAATCCTTGGCATGCTTAGTTATGTTTTATAATAGACCAATTAAGCCATCATTACTATCAACAAAATAATTTGTCTTCTGATGGACAGATTATTTTCTATGAGCTTTCAAATCAAATTCTATGAGATTTCAAATCAAATAGTTGAGTGTAATATTTAAATATTATTTTAGACTTAACTAAATTATGGCACTGGTTTGGTTTTAAAATACATTCCAAATGCAAATGCATTTATCAGCATTCTAATTAAAACTTATCTGTATATTACATTTCAGGAGTTCTAAAATTCAACCAGTATTAAATGTGTTGTGTTAAGCAGCCAAAAACATAACAAATCACCCAACTGCCAGCCCTGAAGGAGGTAGTCTTTGTAGTTGAGCATTTTAATTGTTTTTCTTTGCCTACAATTATATATAACCATTCTTTGCCATAGGGTTCTAGCCTGAGTGATGTTTGGCATTTTTATAGCCGTTCTTCAAAAAAATGCCAGAGAAGTTTGCTTTCATTTTATTTAGTACAGTTACAGAGCCATGCAGACTGACTTTAGCCTTTGTGGGACCCTTGCTTGTCATCCTGGCACTAAAGTTGATGTTTTAGTTAGAAGGATGCATTGTTGATATTTCTGCCCAACTTTCAAGTAAAAAGAAGTAACTGAAAAATCTGGAAGGGATTTGGTGGGAAATGAATTTTTATTTTGATGCCATCTCTAAAAAAAATTACATAAATTACATAGCAAACATACTTTAACTGGCATGTTTCTACTTTACCAGAAACTGAGTAATAAATTTGTGATTTTAAAGGGCTTTCTGAGTTATCAAAGAAAATGTTTGTATGTTCAACATAGCTTTACTGACTTATTAGATTTCAGTTATTTGTAAGCTTAAACATTAACTGGGAGGAAACACTTCTGAATTTTTTCCTTCAAAATTACTTTTCAATACAAAATTTTAGTCATGAAAAAAGCTCTCATCAGATCATACTTATTGCTTTAATATTTTTGTTAGACTTCACTTTTGTTTTTTAGGGGAAACTTGACAAAGCTGTACCTTTGTATGAACTGGCTGTTGAAATTCGGCAAAAATCCTTTGGCCCAAAGCACCCTAGTGTAGCTACTGCCTTGGTGAACTTGGCTGTTCTCTATAGCCAAATGGTAAGTTCCCATACTTACTCTTTATAAATGAATGGTTTTTTTTTTTTTTTTTTAGGAGAGCAAGCAAGGCAGAAGTTTTTATTTAGAGAGAAAGCAAGAGGGCAAAGTTCCTGGCTCAGGCCAGGAGACAAGAGAGTCCCGATAAATGAATGGTTTTAAGAAATGAATTAGATGTGACACAGTAAAAATAATTGAAGGAAATTTAAGATTCTCTACTAATGCTTCCTATGGTACTTGATAAATTACTAACATTACTTTTGTAAGGTAGTCCCCTCCTTAGTGTAAAACTTAGTTCATTGCATAAGCTTTGTTTTTTAATATCTGGAGACTACCTACATCTCCATATCTAATATTGTCATTAAGCTGTGGCATTTGACTGTGATGGGTGAGGAACATGTGTGGCATCCACTGGGCAATGAAGAAATACATTTTTGCTTGTATTATTGGGTTAAGATCAGTAGTTACCAAGCCAGGTCTGAAAACTTAGATTTCTATTACACTGCTTCTCCCACTAAGATTATTCATAAATCAGTCTGTTTATCCATGTCTCATAGGAAGATATAAACATTTTTAAGGGCTTACCCAAATAGGTCAACTTAGTCTAAAATACTTTCATAGTAATTTCAGAAACCCAATGTATTCAAGTCAGCACTTTTTTTTTTTAATAAGAAAAAATATGTTGAAGCCTTGCCATTATATGAAAGAGCATTAAAGATTTATGAGGACAGCCTGGGTCGGATGCATCCTCGAGTTGGAGAAACATTAAAAAATTTAGCTGTGCTTAGGTAAGAATTTTCACTTTACTGATAAAGCCAAACTCTGTTTTAGAGCAGCTGTAATTTCACTCATAGAACAAAGAATTGTTTTTTGCTGAATGTTTTTTCTTGCAGGGAGAGGAATTGTTTTTGTTGATTCACAAAAACAAAAATTAAACTAGTATCCAGAAGCAAAATGAAGGCTGCATGATTTATTTTGTAGAGGAGTGTGCCAGGTAAATAGTGAAGGATGGTTTACATTTGCAACTACCTGGCTCTGGGTGTAATATGGGCAATTTGCTGTCCGAGCTAATTTACATTAAGGACATGTTGACTTATGCTTTGTGTATCTCAGTATGCAAAGAATACCTTACTTCCCTTAGCAGTTTCACTGCATCTGTTATTATAACATGGTCTTAATGATTTTTGTGTGAGACACTGAAATGTTCCTTAGCAGTCAGTATATATAGACAGGAGAGGAGTTTGGGTATTCTGTTTTACTGGTCTGAATGCACTAGAAAAAACAAAATGAAAAAATAAGCAATTATTCACAACTTGATTTTTTTGTATCCTCTTAAGATCACTGCAATTGTTAAGTGGTTATATTTTCATCTTAAGAATTTTTTTTCTCTCAAAGCTATGAAGAAGGGGATTTTGAAAAAGCTGCTGAACTATACAAAAGGGCAATGGAAATAAAAGAAGCAGAAACATCACTTTTGGGTGTTAAAGCTCCTTCCCGACAGTCATCAGATGGAGGAGACACATTTAGCTTAAAAACAAGCCATTATCCTAATGTTTTCCTTCATCAGGGACAAAGGTAATAGCGGCAATTACGATTCACTGCAACTGCGTCTTATGGTAATTAAGAAAAATTTGGAACATTAGAATATTAAACTTATTTTGAAAATGTTTTTAAGAAAAATTTATTTTTACTTTGTGACTTAACCGATATTTTTATGAAATTTTATTGGACCACATTGAAGTCTGGCTCATGATTGTGTCTGTTTTAGTTGCTTTAAAGAATTAACTTTCCTATTGTATGGAACCCAATGATATACACACATTAGAATCCTAAGACAACATGAAGAGTTGGTCACAAAGAGTGCATTGGTCTGTTCAACAAAAGCTGCAGAGCAGAAAGAGTTCAAGAATTCTTTTAATCTCTTAAGAGCTCCTTTAGACTCACCATTCCTTTTCTTGCTTTAGCCTGCCCAATTCTCTACCTCAAAGAAAAGTTTCAAGGAATAAAGGGATAATGTTTACGAAAGGCTTCAATTATTCTTGTGTAAAATGAACTAGTAATAGGAATCTCTGCTACAGTTTTTTTAAGTTTTCCTTTTCTTGGAGCAGATTGGGCCAAGCCCTCTGCTTTCCACGCTCTCTACACTGTACATTGTTTCACTGTGTATGTAGCTACATCATGTCTGAAGTCACTAATGCAGTAACAAGTCAAGCTTTCCAGTGTACTTTAGCTTTTCCCAAAAGAGGAACATGACATTCTCCTCCAGCTTCTCTCTTAAATGGCCTAAATCTGTCTCTTCATTTATTTCAAACTCAAATTGTCTGCCATTCAATACTGAAAATTAAATATTTTTATAGGTCTCATACTTATTGCCATTTTTTGTACCATTTATGTATTTATGTGTAATAAAATCTTCAATTTTAATGCCCAAGATTCTGACATGTGGATAAAGTGAAGGTTCCTATGGCCAGGATTCTCACCTGGCCCTGGTCAGCTTGCTCACTATATACGTGTGGGCAATTAATTGACGCTATATAATAAAGAGCTCCACCCAGTGCTCTGGGCTACATGGCTACACAGCTGCAGGAGAGCAGATATATAGGCCACAGATTAACTTCTTTTCCTTAGTGCGGAAATACAATTACTACTTCCTCAAAGTACCTTTATCTGTCTGTTCATGAAGAAAGCTTCCTTTTATTTGCCGTTGTCTTGTTTTTGAATATATAATTCACGAGTTTACAAACTTTTCCAATGACTACATTTCAGCTTATATTTCATTAGGAACTATTTAAGAGGATATGGATATTTTTATTTTGTAAGTTAAAGATTTTAAATTCATTGTTGGCCAACCTAATTGTGTACAGTTTTCTTGTACAGAGCAATTCCAAACATGAGTAGATGCCTGCCAGCTCTAATCAATACTTTGTGCCTCTTGTCCTTTTCCCTGTATCTGAGAACTACAAACTACTTTTTGCCCATGGCCTCAGGCAAGAGGCCACAAGGATTACTGGAAATAAAAGGGGTACAGCATCAAATTGGTCCTTTCTTCCCAACCCTCCCAAAAGGCCAAAACATTTCAATGGCTAAATTTTCAATATGATTTATAACTGCCTACAATAATCCCTTTAAGTTTTCTTAATGGAGTAACACATGAGTTTTAGGAGAGTTACTTAGTTGATTTTAGTTGAAGGCTGGAAGCAAAAGGAACAGTCAAGGTACTTTGAACAAGTACAATAATTCCGTGGAAAGTACACATCAAATAATGTTGCCCTAAGTTATTTTCAGTTCTGAAATGATTTCAGTTGAAGGGAATAGGCTTAAACATGAGAAATAAAGTACAGGCTAGTCTGTTATCTACATATTCTTCATCTTGGCCATGAGGTCTTCCAAGCTTTCACCAGAATCTTCCACTGTTACCTCAGGTACAGAATCCTTTTCCTATCAGCGAATGAGGGAAACACAGTAAAAAAAAAAAATAACCATATAAAATTCTTGATGCTTTGGAACATAGAGTCAGTAAGGTTTAACCTCATTCAAAAGTTTACAAAGTAAATTTTACTTAATAAATATGCCTTCTGATTTTTAGAAGAGACAAAGTCTTTTACTTCCCCCACTAGTCTTTTGGTTTACAAGGCAGTAATTTATTCTTGAGATCTCTACTGAAGTGGTATTTTTACATGATATTGTGGCTATAACTATCAAATACAAAAATATCTTAATTTAATCAAAATCTATTTCCACTGATCCATTAATAAGTGAAAAAAACTATTTTTTGTCTATGTTCAAACAGTTTGTAAACATGGTATGTGTTTTTCCATATTAATACTGAATACCTCTCTTTTACATATCTTAATGCCTGTAGTGTAAAATACCTAAAATAGAAAATACTACCTTGGCAATATAAAATAGGATTAAGATGAAAGAAGACTCTTGCATGATATTTACTGATGATAAGTCAGATTTTAGATGTACCTTTTTGGGAATTGTATATGCCACTGTAATTCCTTCAGGTAAGTCAGGAACTGGACCTGAAGAATTTTTTAGTTCCTCTTCTGAAACCTCAGATACCAACTCAATACCTGTAAAATTAAGTTTGATCTTATATAACAGTTTTAAAGAACTTAATAAGCAATCATTATTTAACATTTGTATACTCTTAATTATATTCCCTCCTACAAATGATTTCGTTTAAATGCTGCCATTTCAATTAATGAAAAAATTCCTACCCCACTCATTGTCTTCATGTATTATCATTTCCTCTTCATGAACAACCTCCTGTTTGGGCAGTGCTGCTACCCTTTTCTGTAGAAATCAAACAATATCAAGGTGTTCTTACTCATTTCTCAGTTCTCTGAAGCATTAAGAAGAATTCAGACAAGATTTTTATCTTACCAAAAGCAACAAAGGACTCTGAACAGCTTTTTCATTTTTGAAGTATGGTGAATAAATTAAAAATTTTAAGTGCAAAATCCATTTCTCATATTCCAAATATAATTGTTCCTTTTTAAAAAAATTATTATCCTATATATCTCTCATACATTCTAACAGATCGATATATACCTTATATTCGTCCTGTTGCTTCCTGCAATTTCTATCATCACACTGAGGATTTGGCTTCATGGACATAGTAGGAAAGAAATCCTGCATTGCATTGTATCCAAGGTAAAAACTAACAGTGCCAAAATTTAACAGATCATGTCTGAAGTCACTAATGCAGTAACAAGTCAAGCTTTCCAGTGTACTTTAGCTTTTCCCAAAAGAGGAACATGACATTCTCCTCCAGCTTCTCTCTTAAATGGCCTAAATCTGTCTCTTCATTTATTTCAAACTCAAATTGTCTGCCATTCAATACTGAAAATTAAATATTTTTATAGGTCTCATACTTATTGCCATTTTTTGTACCATTTATGTATTTATGTGTAATAAAATCTTCAATTTTAATGCCCAAGATTCTGACATGTGGATAAAGTGAAGGTTCCTATGGCCAGGATTCTCACCTGGCCCTGGTCAGCTTGCTCACTATATACGTGTGGGCAATTAATTGACGCTATATAATAAAGAGCTCCACCCAGTGCTCTGGGCTACATGGCTACACAGCTGCAGGAGAGCAGATATATAGGCCACAGATTAACTTCTTTTCCTTAGTGCGGAAATACAATTACTACTTCCTCAAAGTACCTTTATCTGTCTGTTCATGAAGAAAGCTTCCTTTTATTTGCCGTTGTCTTGTTTTTGAATATATAATTCACGAGTTTACAAACTTTTCCAATGACTACATTTCAGCTTATATTTCATTAGGAACTATTTAAGAGGATATGGATATTTTTATTTTGTAAGTTAAAGATTTTAAATTCATTGTTGGCCAACCTAATTGTGTACAGTTTTCTTGTACAGAGCAATTCCAAACATGAGTAGATGCCTGCCAGCTCTAATCAATACTTTGTGCCTCTTGTCCTTTTCCCTGTATCTGAGAACTACAAACTATTTTTTGCCCATGGCCTCAGGCAAGAGGCCACAAGGATTACTGGAAATAAAAGGGGTACAGCATCAAATTGGTCCTTTCTTCCCAACCCTCCCAAAAGGCCAAAACATTTCAATGGCTAAATTTTCAATATGATTTATAACTGCCTACAATAATCCCTTTAAGTTTTCTTAATGGAGTAACACATGAGTTTTAGGAGAGTTACTTAGTTGATTTTAGTTGAAGGCTGGAAGCAAAAGGAACAGTCAAGGTACTTTGAACAAGTACAATAATTCCGTGGAAAGTACACATCAAATAATGTTGCCCTAAGTTATTTTCAGTTCTGAAATGATTTCAGTTGAAGGGAATAGGCTTAAACATGAGAAATAAAGTACAGGCTAGTCTGTTATCTACATATTCTTCATCTTGGCCATGAGGTCTTCCAAGCTTTCACCAGAATCTTCCACTGTTACCTCAGGTACAGAATCCTTTTCCTATCAGTGAATGAGGGAAACACAGTAAAAAAAAAAAATAACCATATAAAATTCTTGATGCTTTGGAACATAGAGTCAGTAAGCTTTAACCTCATTCAAAAGTTTACAAAGTAAATTTTACTTAATAAATATGCCTTCTGATTTTTAGAAGAGACAAAGTCTTTTACTTCCCCCACTAGTCTTTTGGTTTACAAGGCAGTAATTTATTCTTGAGATCTCTACTGAAGTGGTATTTTTACATGATATTGTGGCTATAACTATCAAATACAAAAATATCTTAATTTAATCAAAATCTATTTCCACTGATCCATTAATAAGTGAAAAAAACTATTTTTTGTCTATGTTCAAACAGTTTGTAAACATGGTATGTGTTTTTCCATATTAATACTGAATACCTCTCTTTTACATATCTTAATGCCTGTAGTGTAAAATACCTAAAATAGAAAATACTACCTTGGCAATATAAAATAGGATTAAGATGAAAGAAGACTCTTGCATGATATTTACTGATGATAAGTCAGATTTTAGATGTACCTTTTTGGGAATTGTATATGCCACTGTAATTCCTTCAGGTAAGTCAGGAACTGGACCTGAAGAATTTTTTAGTTCCTCTTCTGAAACCTCAGATACCAACTCAATACCTGTAAAATTAAGTTTGATCTTATATAACAGTTTTAAAGAACTTAATAAGCAATCATTATTTAACATTTGTATACTCTTAATTATATTCCCTCCTACAAATGATTTCGTTTAAATGCTGCCATTTCAATTAATGAAAAAATTCCTACCCCACTCATTGTCTTCATGTATTATCATTTCCTCTTCATGAACAACCTCCTGTTTGGGCAGTGCTGCTACCCTTTTCTGTAGAAATCAAACAATATCAAGGTGTTCTTACTCATTTCTCAGTTCTCTGAAGCATTAAGAAGAATTCAGACAAGATTTTTATCTTACCAAAAGCAACAAAGGACTCTGAACAGCTTTTTCATTTTTGAAGTATGGTGAATAAATTAAAAATTTTAAGTGCAAAATCCATTTCTCATATTCCAAATATAATTGTTCCTTTTTAAAAAAATTATTATCCTATATATCTCTCATACATTCTAACAGATCGATATATACCTTATATTCGTCCTGTTGCTTCCTGCAATTTCTATCATCACACTGAGGATTTGGCTTCATGGACATAGTAGGAAAGAAATCCTGCATTGCATTGTATCCAAGGTAAAAACTAACAGTGCCAAAATTTAACAGAAACCTAGAAAAACAAAGTAGACTTAAATTTAAAAAATAAAACCATAAATGTATTAGAACAAAGTAACTGAATTAAAAAATAGTTTTGAAGTAGGTAAAGATTTCTGTAACAAGCAATCCAGCAAACAAATTTTTTATCTTGTTTACAGAGCATGGCTTATAGTAGATGTTTGTTACATGAATACAAGAAAGAAGAGATTACTCCATTTCATCAACTTAGAACACACTATTTTTTGAACCTCTAATAAAGATAAAATGCTGTCAAACTATGACACGTCAACAACTTTTAAGAAGCATACTGATTTTAGGTTAAAATGTGAGACAAGTATACCTTAAAAATCTTAGATACGGTACTTAATCTAACTACTTTAATATTTTTAAGTTTTTATATATGACTTACTATAAAGTTTATAATCTTAAATGTGCGACTCAATAAAATTTTGCAGAAGTCTTTACCCATAAAATCACTAATAGGTCAAAATATAGACCATTTCCACTATGTCATTAAGCTCCCCAGTCAAATCTGATTCCTTTTAGAAGCTTATACAGAGAGGGAAAAATCACATATGAAGGACAAACAACAAAGGAGAAATATACAAATGCATGTTGTTGATATAAAATAAAGACAAAACTGAGCAAAGGATACAGGCAATTCACAGAAAAATGTAAGTGCTCAACCCTTTCCACAAATCTCTGACAACTGAAATGACATCCACTTTCACTATCATATTTACAAAGAGTGAAGAATTAGATGATACCCAACATCACCAAGGTGTGGGTGAACCAGATACTCTTACACTGTGATGGAAATGTTCAACTCTTTTGAAGGAGAAATTTAGTAATGTTGAAATAAACATTACATAAACTCAAATTCCACTTCTAAAATTTCACACTACAAAAATCTAGTGTACAAAAACATTTGCAAGATTTTGTTTGCAGCATTATTACATAGCAAAAAAATCTATTAAGTAGCTTAAAAGTCCATAAATAGAGGGCTCGTTAAATATGACACATCCTTAAGAGAATACTTTGCAGCCATGATTTTGTTTCCCTTTTTCACACTATAAAATGTTTTGTTTAGATAGGGTCTACTGAAGTTTATGCAATCTATCTACTCTTACATGAAATAGCCCTAGACAGTTGCCTTGAGAGTATTTAGGTATGCTTTTTTATAATTTCACAGTCTGGTCAGATATTTCCCTGTATCATGTTGCAGTTTGTTTTATCATATTGGAAGCTTAAGAAACATAACTTAAGCTTATTAAAGTTGTAAAGTGAGGAAAAAATGGTCTGAATTAGGGAACACTTAAAGGGGTTCTGCTTTCAGTAAAGGGTGAGTTGGTTCTAAAACCCTTAGACATTAATTATAGCTGCAAAGAAGGCTTTGTTCTTTTTAGCTATAGTTTAAATGGTGTAATTGCTGGATATCTGTTTTTGGATAGCAAAGAGATAACCCTCAATGTTTAATCACAGATTATTTTATTTATAGTTAAATCAAGATAATGGAAGAAAGTGTATTTATGCCTAAATCACCAACCTTTGGTCAAACCTGCAGAGATTTAGATTATTTGGTTAATGCTTCATAAATAAATACACCAGTACCACAGTGCCACTTAACATGAGCTATTCCAAATGCAGGGAGTGTGTACGTATATAAATTAATATATATGTAATATTAATTTATGTTTAACTTAAACATGTTAAGACATTTATATATAGATAAAAAGCACATATATAAAATAAAAAATATATGCATTTCTAAAGCTAAATTAAAAAAAAACTAAATTAAATAATTAGCTAGTAATTCCAGTATTTTAAATACTTCCTGAAATACTTTTGTTTCTATCAAAAGCAAACACGACAATTCAGAATAACTATCCCTCACTCACTTTAACACATTTTGGACCAAGATTCCAGCAACCACACCCATAGTGGTAGGAAGACTGGCTGCACAAACACCTTCTCGTTTCAGACTCTTTTCATCAATATTTGCAGCAACTACAAGTGGGGGAGCACACTGCATGAAAATAGAAGAAAATATATTTCAAAGTAAAGAGGAAAAAGTGTTAAGATGTTCAAAATAAAATTCCATCATGTTCAAAGTTTGTTTTTTCTTTGAACTATAATACATTTTCAATGCCCCAGGAACTCTAGTACTTAAGAGTGAAAAGTAACTCAAAATGAGACCCAAAATGAGTCATGCATACCGCAAAACAAGCAGATTCTCCAGGAATTATGAGCTGTATGTGCCCGGAAACTGCATTTTCACTGACCCCAGATTCCATCCATGTTTGTCCAAGTTCATTACAAGCCTTAGTAGAAATAGGTGGAAACATAAAAGAGTAAAAAAGTAATTTACCTAAGTTCTTTTCATGAAAATTAAGGTAAAGTAAATGGATTACCAAGGGCATTTAAAAATTAATTTTCAGAATAAAAGAGGAAAGTTGTAAATAATGGAATTCCTTGGCAACTACCACTGTGTATAAACTGACAACATTCAAGTAAGCAGTCAATAAATATTAAAATGAGCCATAATTTATTAAATTTATTAATATAAAACTTCATTTTTCTAAAACAATTTCAGCAAGAAAAAAGATGCAAAATATCATTTGAAAAGTTGGAACACAAATATTCAAAAAAATCAATTTTATTTTTGAGAAACCATGTTTGTAGGCAATTTATACATATATATTTACTTAAAAATAAAGTAACAAAAATTAAAATCAACTTCAACCAAAAGAAAGACATTATATACAGTCGATTACTTTAAAAATTGTACATCCGAAGTTGTCTATTTTGTGGTTTCCTCTATTTGGCACATGAGAGAGAGATACTGAAATATAAGCTACAACAGCAAGGCTAGATGAGTCCCCCAGTGACCAGAATATATTTCAAAGTAGGCTAAAAGAACATTTGATATAAAACACACTATAAAAGGGTTTAAATGCAGAATTTTTTTTAGAATGGGAAATATATACTGATAGACAATACAGGAAAATAGATAAGAAAGAGTATAACACCTTACAGAATAGAAATACTCACTGTATTTATTGTCATCCGAGCTTCAAAATTGTCCACACAGCTAAGAACTAGGTCAACAGGCTTTCCCTCTTCTAATCCACCATTACTAGGCAAAGCAAATAAATTTTATTTGAAAAAATCAGAACACAAAACACATTCTAATAAGAATATTTGTTCAGTCACATACTTATTCTTTCGGTAAATGCTTGAATATAATTATGAGATAGCAAGTATTTAATACTGAAGAACAGTATATAAAGAGTATTGAGTAACTTATGAATATAATATCAATGATACCACAGTACTTCTTGTACAAGGCATACATTGGTACAAGAAACAGAAAGTCTGTTCAGAAAAATTACCATTTCCCTATCAGCTTTCACTACAAATGTAAAAGTAAAAGCTAACTGAATACAATTCAGTATTTCAGCTGTGTTACAATGTCTCTGCAGGAAACCACTTTCATACAGAAATGCAATTTAGAACACAGAACTTATAATTGAGGATCTCTTGTTATATCATAACAGAATTTTGTTTTTTTGCTTGTTTTTTATTTTGTTACTATTTTGGGGGGAAAATATATGCTTTTTACTGAGCTCCTAATATAGAAAAATCACACAAAAAATTAACTATTTTAAGAACAAAAATATATACCAATCTACCAATTAACTGAATCAATCATCAGTACATTTTCTAATATTTGTTTAACTGAGCTGGACCATTGTCATACATACACATAAATAAAATTTTACCTTATTCTATCCATGAAATGTTGAAAGTTTTCTACTGTGGTTATATTGTAGTTGTGTACTTCAAAAAGAACATCAGGATTAATGCTCCTAAGAGGAAAAAGGAATGATTATAAAAACTGCTAGGAATAGTAAGGGAAAGCAGGAAAAATAACTGAAATAGCTTAAGATCATTTAACAGAGCTTAGAAAAATGGAACTCAAGCTATGCAAAGAAAATGCAAAGCTGTCTTCTACCTCTTTGGTCCCATTTCGAGGACTGGGTTCAAAACATACTGCTTGTCAGAATGTTTACAAAAATGTTCCCACAATCTATGTGCTGGGATTTAAGCCTTGAGTACCTCAGTTAGCCACAGCTTGGTGTGGATAAAGTGAAGGTTCCTATGGCCAGGATGCTCACCTGGCCCTGGTTGGCTAGCTCACTACACACGTGTGGACAATAGTTGTTATTGACTCTAAAGAGCTCTGCCCTGTGCTCTGGGCAACATGGCTGCACAAGAGCAGAGGCTGGAATGGAGGCAGCGCAGAAGACTGAGACCGCTGTGGGGAGTGGCTCAGAGGCAGAGATAAAGGAGAATTATAGACCTGCAGTGCTCAACCTATCGCAGGGAGAACAAGCCGGGTAATAAACCCTTTCATCTCAAGAACGTTCCATTGTCATTCCTGGTCGCACCGAATCCTTAGTGAACTTGCCGGGGGGTTAAACCCACGACACTCGGCCTGACAAAAGAGTTTCTGTATTCCTTACTCAACTCAGTGCAAGTATGTTTGGGCTACAAACTAGCTAGAGTAAGATTTGGCAAACTAGGGCCCTCAGGCCAAATCTGACCTGCCATCTGTTCTGGTAAAGTCTGCAAGCTAAGAATGGTTCTTACATTTTTAAATGGTTGCAGGAAAAACAAAACAATCAAAAGAACAATATTTCATGACCTGTGAAAATTATATGAAATGTGAATTTCAGAGCCCATAAATAAAAGTTATATTAGAGCACAGCTTTGCTCATTCATTTTTGTAATGCCTACAGCTGTTATCACACTACAACTGGGAAGGTGAGCAGTTTTGACAGAGACCATATGGCCCTCAAAACCTAAAGTAGTTACTGTCTAGCCCTATTCAGAAAAAGGTTGCCACTGAGATCCAAGACATAAGAAATCTTTGTGTAAGTGAAGCATGCATTTTTATAAAGAAAAAAGGTCCATGTATATAAGAGGTTAACTCATACCAAATGCACAAAGTAAGATTTCACTAAAGACAGTATTTAATTGCTGTTTCATTTACCTCAAAGTATGTTCTGCTGCTTGAACTTTACTTAATCCTGCTTGATGAGGTTGGAAGAAAAGTCTATTCATATTGGCCAGTTCTACCTTGTCATAGTCAAAGAGGAGCAACTAAAATAAAAAATAGTATTCTGATAAAAAACTACCAGAAAACAAACTAAAAATACAAAATAGGTAGATTTTGCTTTTGATGGATTTAACAGTTTGACAGCAATACTAGCTGACTCTAAAATACTGGTACCATATACTAACTCATTTACTGCCCATATGAAAAGTAAGTACACTAGGTACTCTACTCTCCTGCTCCTGGAAATGAGAAAACTAGGGCAGCTGCCCAAAAGCCACCCAGCTAATATGCAGTGAAAATGGGATTCAAATTCGGGCAGTCTCAATCCAGCATCTGTACCTTAACAACAATGGTACTGCCTCTCTGAATGATTCACTGAGAAAGTAATGTTCATTCCATTTCATTCCAATTTTTAAAAAGTGTGCCAAAATCCCAGTTCATTCAAATTTTTTGCCAGAAGCCAAAACTCATAAATGAAATACTTAAATAAGATCAAAACAAGTACCATAATTTAAACTAATTAGCATAACATGACTCCTTTTGTGAATATGACACTATATATACCCATGGAATGGCTAAACATCATTCCAAATAGATTTCTAACCCATCAGTTAATTGCTGTTCCTTACTGTATATTTAGATATGACAGCATTTGTCCCCCATCCTCCCTCCTTTCCACACACACACCCCCCTTTAAAATGGCCAAAAGATCCCATTTCTTATCAGTACAAACAAGTTGCACCCAAGGATTTCTAAGGTCCCATCCTTGATGTAAAATTCTGTAACTTTATAATACTATTCTCAGAATCCTAAATTTAACAATGAAACCAAAAAAAGGGGAAATGGCCAGGGCAAGGCCAGCAGCCAGGCAGAGATGGAGGCAGGGATCCTACACAAATGAGATTTTCATCTTAAAAAACAAAACCCAGGCCATACAAACAACCTAGATATATTTTCTAGAAAAGATATCACTTATGCCTTCTATGATAGTGTTCTACCCTATCTGGAGTCCCCAAAATATGGTTTATTTAAGCTAATTCAACAGTATTTATTAGGTCAGGCCAAATACTAAATTTGATCTTTTGGTCTCACATCTGGTTTAGAGGTTGCAGGAAATCCTAAATTTGGGGTAGGGTCTGGCAACCTGTGTTTTAACAAGCAGTCCGAGTGACTCTGATGCACACTCAAACCTGACAGCCAGGAACCTCCATGAGCTCTACTATCCTGGGTCAATCAGGGCACTTAGGTCAGCTAAAAGTAACTGTTGGCTGGCTTCTCTAAACCTCTTGAAAGACTCTAAAATGTTAATAAAAATTTTTAGTATCTGGTGTGTCCTGTTCTATATTGATAAATAAATGTCAACTTTGAAACCACTTTCTTTTAAAAATTTGGGGCATGGGGTGGACCAATTGTGAGGAAAATGGAAGTTCCTATGGCCAGGATCTTCCCTGATCCTAAACTACTTGATGATATAATTGGCCTACTACTAGGCTACTGCTTCCACACCCATAGGCAATAGCTATCACTGACTCATTATGTAAAGAACTCTGCCCAGTGCTCTAGGCAGAGGCAGAGACGAGGATCACAGACCTGCAGACTGCTAGATGCAGACATGATTCTAGTGCTTGACCTACCATTGGGAAAACAAGCTGGGTAATAAACCTTTTACCCCAAGAACATTCCTTTGTCATTCCTTGGTCTTGCTGAATCCATAGTGAACTTGCCCGGGGCTGAAACCCTCAGACAAGACACCGATATATTAAAAAGCATTGGTAAACTTTGTGGGGAAAATGCCTGCTTTATCAAAATGACTAAGGGTATGTAGTTGTGAAAAGCTTATGTATTCAACGACTGTATATCTAACATCATGGACACTGGTTTTATAAATCTAAGATTGGCAGACTGATTTCTAGTATAAGGTTATTTCTTCCTATCCACAAGCTAGATCAATTTTAGAAAAAAAGTAAAAAATGGATGGGTTAAAAAATATGGAGCATTCCCCAGTTCAATTTTAAGAATAAGAAAGGTACATGCTATCTAGTCTCTTTTTATAAAGCATGTGTTTAAAAAATATGTTAGATGTTTCAGTGTTTCATTCATATACTTTATCAATTTAACAGCCTTCTTTCCTAGGCTTCTATATCTAAAACACATAAGTCCAAATTGTTTATTATTACCCCAAACAAAAAAGTTCCTGAACAAAATTAGGTAGTCCTTGTTTATTCAGCAACAGTATCAACTTCTGTTTGGGTGGGATATGTCAACTCCCTCAGGTAGAAAGAATAAATATACCACAAATCAATAAACCATTAGTAATGAGGAAGAAAAATCCTAACTTGTACCTGATTTACTCCAAAAGTGAATGGGTTCCCTATATGATAAGCAGAGAGAAATGTTTTTACCTTACCAATGCCACATCTTGTCAGCATTTCAGCAGTCACACTACCAACTCCACCAACACCTACTATTGCTACAGCAAAGGTACGGATTTTCTGTGAAATGCAAAATGATATGTGTTGGTTAATAACTCTATCATAAACATCACCATAAACTTTTCATTTACTGAAATCATCTTCAGAAACTTGGGAAGGTTTATCATACCTCATAGTCGCTTACAATTCCCATTCGTTTCAGTGCCATCAGTCGGCTTAAACAAAGAAAATACTGTTTTAAAACTCACAATCTTTTAATTAATAATAATACAAGTAACCATATATCATCAGAAAAATACTAAAACTCAATCATTACTAGTCCTTTAAGAGGAGAAATCTTTAAGCTGGCTTTCCCCAGATGAAACTACATCACCTAGAAAGCTTTAAAAACACTGACACTGAATACCCTCCCAGGTTAGCCTATGCAACAAGAATTTTTTTAAAGATGAAATGCCATTTATTGAAATATCTGCATGCAGGAAAAAAATAAGGATAGTACCCTCCAGCCAGAAGCTGAGGAGTTCCACCTCTGTTCTTTATGTATCTCTTTTACAAATTATCTCAAGATATTTTTTTAAAAGCTCTTCAGATACTCTCAAGTAAAGCCAAGACTGAGATCTATTGATTTAAGTATTAAGTATCTAGATGAGTAAAGGTGAAATTTCAACATTTTTCCATGCTTACTTAATATATGTAAATATTCTATGTTTAACACTAAGATTTAATGTGTAATATCAGTATAATCTCATGGCTGGAATTCCAATCACTTGCCTCTGCCCATAATGGATGATGTCTACTTTCAGTAAGAACCTATTATATGCTAAGGACACTGTGAGGTACTTTACCTAGTTACTAATCTGTTTTATCTTCAGTGTTTTAGATTTTTTTTGAACATATACAGTTTAAACCTATATACATATACAGTTGCCTCAACACTGGTTTGAACTGCACAGGTCCACTTATACATGGATTTTTTTCATATATTGGCAAATTTTTTTGAGATTTGCAACAATTTGAAAAGTCATTTTCTTTTCTCTGGCTCTATTATAAGAATATATAACACATATAACATACAAAAGTGTTACTTGACTATGTTGCTAGCGAGGCTTTCAGTCAACAGGCAATTATTAGTAGTTAAAAGTTACATGTGGATTTGACTACAGGAGTTGGGGGTCAGTGTCCCTAACCCCCAGGTTGTTTCATGAGTCAACTATACATACAATTCCCATTCATTTACACTCTACAGTCAAATAGTTCTAGCAGGCTTGCTAGGAAATTCAGTGGTTTTCTGGCCTCCACCCCCATTTTCCTGTTCTTCCTCACTTCCAACTCTATGACCAACATACCTCTAAATAATGTGCTAACATTTTTATATCTTGATTTCCAGGTTTAGGTGTTCTCTGAAGATTATTTCATTCTAACCATTGATCCCCAAAGCACACAAATGCTTCTCATCCCACCAGTCTTTTACTATTGTTGTAGGGTCAGTTTGCTTAGATGTTAAGACTGTTCACAACTGGGCAATGCAGTATATTAGAATGTCCTCTTTCCTGTACAATCCCCACCCTTGACATTAAAAATTGTTTCTCTTTATGCTTAATTTCCTATGTACTTTAACATATTCAAACCTGGTTGTCTAAACTTCCTCAAGATACAGTCACATGTATGAGATACTCTATCAACTTCACGTTTTAAAAGATGTATCTACTAGAATATTCTGACATGCACCCATCTGCAGACTTACTGCACACATCACTCCCATTCTGGAATCTCCCATCATCATTATATCACAAACTCTTTTCATTTCATTTTTTATCCTTTTTTAATCCCCTGCTTCCTGTATCCTACAGCTCAGTGGTTCTAAAGTGTGATCCATGGATCAGTATATCACATGAAAATATGCTAGAACCGCCATTTCTTGAATCCCTCACCCTATAATTACCAAATGACTCAAACTTTGCAAGTGGCCTAATCATCTCTGTTTTTCAAGCTCTTGGAGTAATTCTGATGCACATGAAAATTTGCAAGCATCTGCTATGAGAATTTCTTAAGTTATTCTCTTGTTATGGTTCAAAGAACATCTCTCAGTAGCTTTGCAAATGGTACTCACAAGGAAGGTAAATTTTGAGAACTTGTGTGTCTGAAATTATCAAAATTCTATTCTTTATCCAAAAAAAAATCAAAATTTTATTCTCTAAGAAAATTAAAGGGAATTGCAGAATGCTACACACACACACACAAAATCTTATTTGATAGTTTAACATGGTATAGAAGTCTATGTTGAAAATAATTTTCCTTCAAAATTTCTAAGATATTGCTCTAGCCATGCTGGATTGTTAAAAATTTTTTGGATTGTTAGCCCTTCACATTTGGCAACAGAGTTAAAAAATACATGCACTCTGACAATTATATCTCAATAGAACTGAAAGAAAAAAGGATTAAGACAATTTGGTAACCTACTAAATCTGATGAATGAGGGAAAAGCAAGAAATCTGGCATCATTTCATTTGATTTGGGTTAATATGAACTCTTCTGTAATTATGGAAGAATTTTTTTATTACAAATAATATATAATTAATAACTTTGTGCCTAAATACTGGTCAGCATTTTAGACTGTTAAAAAGAAAAAAATGTACCCAAAGACTTCCACTGATGCTTTATAATGCCATAAACAAAACCTTTTTTAAAAATCCAATTCTCCTGCTCTTTAAAAAGAACAACATCTCTCCTGTTTCACCTATTTTAAAACTATCCAGTTTTTAGCAACACTACTTAATGACCTAATTATTTTTACTGGGAGACAGTTTCATGTGAACTTTAAGTAAGAAAAATTTAATCCAAGTCCAGACCTTATTACCTACTACTAGTTGCCTGACCTGAAGGCAAGCCACAGCAGTTGTCTGTCAATTTTTCAACTATAAAATAATAGTAGCAATCTCCTAGGGTTGTGGTGAGCAGGAAAAGTGACAAGGCACGTCGAGTGTTTGGCAGGTAGTGAAGCTCTGTCACTCTAGGCCCTGAGCAACAGTCTTGTACAAGGCTTAGCGTGCACCAGCGCTATTCTAAGATCTTCACTTATACTGACGTTTTCGATTCTCAAAACTCTGAGATAGATACTACTATTATCCCCATTTTACAAGTGAGAAAGTGAGGCAAATAGGTTCAGAACTCCCCTAAGGTTACTCAGCTAGGAATAGTTGGGATTTGAATACAATCAGTCTGGCTCTCCAGAGTCTTTATCCTTAACTACTATGCTACACTCGGCTTGGAATTAACAAACCTTAGGAAACGAAGAAAGGAGAGGAGCAGACAGGACTGGTCTGACATCATCTTCTGAAAGTTACTACTATTAGTTTTAGGCAGAGCGAAGGTAGACCAACAGAGGCAGGGCGGGTACAAAACTGTTGGCGTGTCAGCAGGTACGGGAGCTGCGCCATATGGCAGATACACTTTCTTTTTTTCTAAAGAACATCTTTGGCCCAATACTAAGACTTGGCCTTGCCCATTTGGGGACAGGACCCCCAGAACATTAAAAGGGAGACGGGAGGCCTTATGACCTGGACAGGTGGGGAACGCCTCACTCCGGACCGCAGGGAGACCGTGACCTCGCCGCCTCCTACCCGCGACGCAGGTCACCTGTAGGGGTTGGAGTCCACCACCTCTGGGCTCATCTTCTCGATACGGGCCCGGCCGCAGCCTCCGTCGCCGCCCCGTAGGGCCCGCCGACTTCTCTCCCGGGCCAGTTCCCGCTCCAGCTCCTCTATCCGCAGCTGCAGCCGCTCCACAGACTCGGCCATGGCTGGGAGCCCGGCGGCCAATGCTCCCAGCCCCAGCCTTCGCCGTCGCCGCCGCCCCACGCTGCTAGGCCGACTGGATCTGCAAAGGATATGGGAGGAGGGGCCTAGCGGCTGCCTTCCTAGCTCACAACCCTGGGCAAGCGGTCCCAGCGTCTCACGGACAGACACGTCTCCGCCACTCCCGCGGACCTCCCAAGGTACCGCTTCCGGTGCTTGCAGTTAACGTTCCCCCTCAGAAAAACCCCGCCCCTTTTGGCTCCCTTCTTCCCCAGCTCCAAAGAGACCAGGCCGCAACAGGGCGGGGGTTCGTATGTCCAGAGCCTGCGGCCAGCAATGTTGCCATTCCAAACCGGCGGCTGGCAGAAACGCCAGGATCTTTTATTCTTGGGCTCGAGGTCCTGACGGGCCCTTTTCTGAACCGGACCCAATAGCTCTTTCGGCAGCCAGTGCGTTAACTTTGGAGGTGAAAGAGGCCCCTGCGTTCTTACTTGCCCGTAGTGACTAAAGTGGCTGTGCTTTCTTTAAAACGGAGTCATCCAAATCTGAAGCCAACTGAAATTTTAAATCCGAACCCACACGAAGCCTTTCTGCCATTTCTCAACTGGAGCCTAAAATGCCAGCCGCTGTTGCTCAGCAACGGCGCCCAGGAAGTGTGTGATTGGCTGTCGTCGCTTGGGCGGTCTCGGTCGGGACACGTCAGTACAGTGCCTCCAAACTACTGAGTGGAGTTCCCGCAGCACAGGTGTCGGAGCCCGGGACGTGTGTGGTTTCTGCGTTTATGCTGCTTGCAGCAGCAGAGACAATCATGAAGGCTGGTGCATCCTATGAACGCCAGATGGTCGAAGTGCTACCCCAGCACAAGTTCGACAGAGGTCCCTGGAGGCCTACCGAAACCAGAACTTGCCCGGCTTTGGAGCAGAGCGCGAGGCGAAGCTGACCGTTGCCCAGTATAGGTATCCAGCAAAATACAAATCTGTACGTTGTGCTTTTCTTCTATTGGTCTTGGGTGGGTTGCCTGTTGCCCCCATCCCGGTTTCTTTTCCTGCAGTGACGCACTCTGCCTGTAGGAGCTGCCATCAAGATCCTCTGAATTCTGTTCTGGGTTATTTCTCATTCAAGGGCAAGGAAGCACAATTATGTTCACGGTTCAACTATGAGAAGGAATCCTTGCTAAAGGGTGAAGTTATGTGTCACCAGGATTCACTGGGGGCAATTAAGGTTGGAAGCTCTGTGGGACATAAAGGGGCCTTCTTTCAACTTTTGTTCTTTAGCCCTCAGCTCTTTTTTTCCCCTTTATATCAGATGTAATTCTGTTATAGCTGACTATATTCTCGGAGGCTGTTACTGGCGCCAGCTGGGGGATCCCAGTTCTAATGCTTGCTTTTCCACTTAGCAAATCGCAGCACCACTTTGGCCTTTAGTTCTTTAAGTGAAGGAATGAAACTGGATGACTTGCTGAGAGTAGTGTTCTCCATCGTGAATCTGGCTCTAACTAATGTTTCATAGTAAAATGAGTTTTAAAATAAACTTTATTCTAAATATACTGTTTTGATAAACAGAGCTGTAGAAACAGTCCCATTAGGAAATTAGATCTGACCCTTACTGGATGGGAATTTAAATATGTTGTATAAACTCTGCAAGAACTCATTTCCTGACTCGTAATAAATACCTGTACCGTCTGAGTAACCTGATAATTGAATGAAGTAGTATACGTGAAAGAGCTTAAACATTGTAACAAGACCATATACCAATAGTTTACCACTGGTATTTGTATTTCTTGGCTACTGAGTTCAGTGAATAAAAATGTGTTAAAAGAGATGGATCAGAGAGTTTGGGCATTGAATTTAAAGGCACCATGTCCCAATAGATATTGGGGGATGAAGGAAAAGGTGGAATAAAAATTAACTGACGTTTCTAGCCTTGATACCTTGTATTGTAAACAAACTAACACAAAGATCAAAGTTCAAATTTCAACTGTTCAGTTTGTTGTGGGAATCTGGACAAGCTATTTAACGCGTTTGAGCATTGAGTCCTCTTTTAGCAAAATGAAGATGGTAACATTTATCTGCTAGAATTGTTGGAGATCATCTAACTGAAAGATATTTAATTCTGAATTAAGTTGAATGTTATATAAGCCGAAATTCTGCTTGATAATGTGTTTGATAATTAGTTGTGGCATAAATAGTATATAGGTACAGAACTGTGCTGCAGAGAATAAACATTTATTTTTATTTCATAAAAAATTTATAGAAATTGAAGACATGGTAGGCCTAAAAGGAAGTTTCAAAAATTCTAATGTATCAATCTTAAAATACATTTTCAGAATACAGTATAAATGCCAAAAATTTAGAGATCAACTGAAGAAAGCTAACAAATAAATGTTTAGTAACTGATTCACGAATTAGAGTCAATAATCTACACATAATACTTTATCAAAGTTCAATATGCAAAAGTCAATTGCATTTCTTTAATGTACAATTTATCTTTAGCAACAGTTAAAATGTAGTTTTCAAAAAGATACAGTTAATAAGAGCAGCAAAAATATAAATTGTCTAACTACTAATCTAACAAAATATGTAGAACCGTTGTAGAGAAAATTATGAAGCTTCACTAGGACCTTAAAAAGAAATAAATTGGGAGATACCAGGTCCACAAATAGGAAAACTCAATATTGTAAATGTTTTTCCTCCACTGTCCTATAGATTCATTGCAATGGCAATAAAACCTTAATTTTTTCCTCTAATTTGAAAAATTACTCCTAAATTTTATGTGCAATCTTACTACACTGATGGACAGTGACTGCAGTGGGGTATGGGGGGGAACTTGATGGTGGGGGTGAATGTAGTAACCACATTGTTTTTCTTGTGAAACCTTCATAAGAGTGTACATCAATGATGCCTTAGTAAAAACAGACAAACAAACAAATTTGTGTGCAAGAGCAGAGAGCTAAAAATAGCAAAAATACTACAAACAGGCAAAGTGGTGAATTTGAATTAAGATGGCATGATCATATGCAGAGCTAGACCAGTAAATACAGATAGAATATTGATATATGACAGTGCTGGCACAGAGAATGAATGTATGGGACAGGGGGAGGAATTTGCAATAAATTGTACAGAGATAAATGTTGCTGTATGAAAAAACTGAAATTAGACCCTTTCTTTACCTTACTCAGTTCTAGGTATATTATAGACTCGAATGTTAAAAGCAAAGTTATAAACATTTGGAAAACATACAGGAGATGATCTTTATGACTTCACAGTAGGCAAGAAAATCTTTTTTTTTTAGGGATCTATTCTTTATTTTTTTATTTTGTGAATTTTCATACACTGGTGGCATCATCTTTGTTTAAAGGAAGCTTAAAACAAATGTCAGTGATTCAATACAACTTTTTTTTTAATGACCAAAAGTCTTTATTTATTTATTTTCACTACTTGTCTTCTCTGTGCTATACTGCTTTTCCCATGCCCCACCGCTACATTAGGTGTAGTAATCATAATGCCCCTTTTTCCCCTTATCCCTTCCTTCCCACCCATCCTCCCCAGTCCCTTTCCCTTTGGTAACTGTTAGTCCATTCTTGGGTTCTGTGGTTGTGCTGCTGTTTTGTTCCCTCAGTTTTTGCTTTATTCTTATATTCCACAGATGAATGAAATCATTTGATACTTGTCTTTCTCTGCCTGGCTTATTTCACTGAGCATAATACCCTCTAGATCCATCCATGTTGTTGCAAATGGTAGGATTTGTTTTCTTTACTTATGGCTGAATAATATTCCATTGTGTATATGTACCACATCTTCTTTATCCATTCATCTACTGATGGATACTTAGGTTGTTTCCATTTCTTGTATATTGTAAATAGTGCTGCGATAAACATAGGGGTGCATCTGTCTTTTTCAAACTTGAGTGCTGCATTCTTAGGGTAAATTCCTAGGAGTGGAATTCCTGGGTCAAGTGGTATTTCTATTTTGAGTTTTTTGAGGAACTTCCATACTGCTTTCCACAAAGGTTGAACTAATTTACATTATCACCAGCAGTGTAGGAGGGTTCCCCATTCTTCACATCCTCGCCAACATTTGTTGTTGTTTGTCTTTTGGATGGTGGCCATCCTTACTGGTGTGAGGTGATATCTCATTGTGCTTTTAATTTGCATTTCTCTGATGATTAGCAATGTGGAGCATCTTTTCATGTGCCTGTTGGCCATCTGAATTTCTTCTTTGCAGAAGTGTCAGTTCAGATCCTCTGCCCATTTAAAAAAATTTTTTATTAAGGTATGATTGATACACACTCTTATGAAGGTTTCACATGAGAAAACAATGTGGTTACCACATCCACCCACACTATCAAGTCCCCACCCATACCCCAATGCAGTCACTGTCCATCAGTGCAGCAAGTTGCCAGAGATCCACTATGTGCCTTCTCTGTAATACACTCTTCTCCCCGTGAGCCCCCACACCATGTGCACTAAACATAATACGCCTCAGTCCCCTTCTCCCTCCCTCCACACCCACCCTCCCACAGCCCTCCCCTTTGGTAACCACTAGTTCATTCTTGGAGTCTCTGAGTCTGCTGCCATTTTGTTCCTTCAGTTTTGCCTCATTGTTATACTCCACAAATGAGGGAAATCATTTGGCATTTGTCTTTCTCTGCCTGGCTTATTTCACTGAGCATACTGTCCTCCAGCTCCATCCATGTTGTTGCAAATGGTAGGATTTGTTTCTTTCTTATGGCTGAATAGTATTCCATTGTGTATATGTGCCACATCTTCTTTATCCATTCATCTACAGATGGACACTTAGGTTGCTTCCATATCTTGGCTATTATAAAAAGTGCTGTGATGAACAGAGTGGTGCATATGTCTTTTTGAATCTGAGAAGTTGTATTCTTTGGGTATATTCCAAGAAGTGGGATTCCGGGGTCAAATGGTATTTCTATTTTTAGTTTTTGAGGAACCTCCATATTGCTTTCCACATGGTTTAACTAGCCTACATTCCCACCAGCAGTGCAGGAGGGTTCCCCTTTCTCCACAACCTGGCCAACATTTGTTGTTCTTAGTCTTTTCGATGCTGGCCATCCTTACTGGTGTGAGGTGATATCTCATTGTGGTTTTAATTTGCATTTCCCTGATTATTAGTGATGTGAAGCATCTTTTCATGTGCCTGTTG